TCAATCGTGCATCTAAATCTGGCAACATTATTTTTGGTCGAAATTCATGTAACAATTGTACGCTAAAATATTGTCTGCATCCTATATAGACTTAGTTCGAAATTTCTCACCCCCATAACTCGGTCAAATATCATCAGATTTGCCCGAGGTTTGGCTTTTTATTCATGGTTTAGCCTCTAGATCAATCGTGCATCTAAATCTAGCAGCATTATTTTTGGTCGAAATTCATGTAAAAATTGTACCCTAAAATATTCTATACAGACTTAGGTCGAGATTTCCCACCCCCATAACTCGGTCAAATCTCATCAGATTTGCCCGAGGTTTGGCTTTATATTTATGGTTTAGCCTCTAGATCAATCGTGCATCTAAATCTGGCAACATTATTTTTGGTCGAAATTCATGTAATAATTGTACGCTAAAATATTGTCTGCATCCTATATAGACTTAGTTCGAAATTTCTCACCCCCATAACTCGGTAAAATCTCATCAGATTTGCCCGAGGTTTGGCTTTTTATTCATGGTTTAGCCTCTAGATCAATCGTGCATCTAAATCTGGCAACATTATTTATGGTCGAAATTCATGTAAAAATTGTACCCTAAAATATTCTATACAGACTTAGGTCGAGATTTCCCACCCCCATAACTCGGTCAAATCTCATCAGATTTGCCCGAGGTTTGGCTTTTTATTTATGGTTTAGCCTCTAGATCAATCGTGCATCTAAATCTGGCAACATTATTTTTGGTCGAAATTCATGTAATAATTGTACGCTAAAATATTGTCTGCATCCTATATAGACTTAGCTCGAAATTTCTCACCCCCATAACTCGGTAAAATCTCATCAGATTTGCCCGAGGTTTGGCTTTTTATTCATGGTTTAGCCTCTAGATCAATCGTGCATCTAAATCTGGCAACATTATTTTTGGTCGAAATTCATGTAAAAATTGTACCCTAAAATATTCTATACAGACTTAGGTCGAGATTTCCCACCCCCATAACTCGGTCAAATCTCATCAGATTTGCCCGAGGTTTTGCTTTTTATTTATGGTTTAGCCTCTAGATCAATCGTGCATCTAAAACTGGCAACATTATTTTTGGTCGAAATTCATGTAATAATTGTACGCTAAAATATTGTCTGCATCCTATATAGACTTAGTTCGAGATTTCCCACCCCCATAACTCGGTCAAATCTCATCAGATTTGCCCGAGGTTTGGCTTTTTATTCATGGTTTAGCCTCTAGATCAATCGTGCATCTAAATCTGGCAACATTATTTTTGGTCAAAATTCATGTAATAATTGTACCCTAAAATATTCTATACAGACTTAGGTCGAGATTTCGCACCCCCATAACTCGGTCAAATCTCATCAGATTTGCCCGAGGTTTTGCTTTTTATTTATGGTTTAGCCTCTAGATCAATCGTGCATCTAAATCTGGCAACATTATTTTTGGTCGAAATTCATGTAAAAACTATACCCTAAAATATTGTCTTCATCCTATATAGACTTAGTTCGAGATTTCCCACCCCCATAACTCGGTCAAATCTCATCAGATTTGCCCGAGGTTTGGCTTTTTATTCATTGTTTAGCCTCTAGATCAATCGTGCATCTAAATCTGGCAACATTATTTTTGGTCGAAATTCATGTAATAATTGTACGCTAAAATATTGTCTGCATCCTATATAGACTTAGGTTGGATTTTCCCACCCCCATAACTCGGTCAAATCTCATCAGATTTGCCCGAGGCTTGGCTTTTTATTTATGGCTTAGCCTCTAGATCAATCGTGCATCAAAATCTGGCAACATTATTTTTGGTCAAAATTCATGTAAAAACTATACCCTAAAATATTGTCTTCATCCTATATAGACTTAGTTCGAGATTTCCCACCCCCATAACTCGGTCAAATCTCATCAGATTTGCCCGAGGTTTGGCTTTTTATTCATTGTTTAGCCTCTAGATCAATCGTGCATCTAAATCTGGCAACATTATTTTTGGTCGAAATTCATGTAATAATTGTACGCTAAAATATTGTCTGCATCCTATATAGACTTAGGTTGGATTTTCCCACCCCCATAACTCGGTCAAATCTCATCAGATTTGCCCGAGGTTTGGCTCTTTATTCATGGTTTAGCCTCTAGATCAATCGTGCATCTAAATCTGGCAACATTATTTTTGGTCGAAATTCATGTAATAATTGTACGCTAAAATATTGTCTGCATCCTATATAGACTTAGGTCGAAATTTCTCACCCCCATAACTCGGTCAAATCTCATCAGATTTGCCCGAGGTTTGGCTTTTTATTCATGGTTTAGCCTCTAGATCAATCGTACATCTAAATCTGGCAACATTATTTTTGGTCGAAATTCATGTAAAAACTATACCCTAAAATATTGTCTTCATCCTATATAGACTTAGTTCGAGATTTCCCACCCCCATAACTCGGTCAAATCTCATCAGATTTGCCCGAGGTTTTGCTTTTTATTCATTGTTTAGCCTCTAGATCAATCGTGCATATAAATCTGGCAACATTATTTTTGGTCGAAATTCATGTAATAATTGTACGCTAAAATATTGTCTGCATCCTATATAGACTTAGGTTGGATTTTCCCACCCCAATAACTCGGTCAAATCTCATCAGATTTGCCCGAGGTTTGGCTCTTTATTCATGGTTTAGCCTCTAGATCAATCGTGCATCTAAATCTGGCAACATTATTTTTGGTCGAAATTCATGTAATAATTGTACGCTAAAATATTGTCTGCATCCTATATAGACTTAGGTCGAAATTTCTCACCCCCATAACTCGGTCAAATCTCATCAGATTTGCTCGAGGTTTGGCTTTTTATTCATGGTTTAGCCTCTAGATCAATCGTACATCTAAATCTGGCAACATTTTTTTTGGTCGAAATTCATGTAATAATTGTACCCTAAAATATTCTATACAGACTTAGGTCGAGATTTCGCACCCCCATAACTCGGTCAAATCTCATCAGATTTGCCCGAGGTTTTGCTTTTTATTTATGGTTTAGCCTCTAGATCAATCGTGCATCTAAATCTGGCAACATTATTTTTGGTCGAAATTCATGTAAAAACTATACCCTAAAATATTGTCTTCATCCTATATAGACTTAGTTCGAGATTTCCCACCCCCATAACTCGGTCAAATCTCATCAGATTTGCCCGAGGTTTGGCTTTTTATTCATTGTTTAGCCTCTAGATCAATCGTGCATCTAAATCTGGCAACATTATTTTTGGTCGAAATTCATGTAATAATTGTACGCTAAAATATTGTCTGCATCCTATATAGACTTAGGTTGGATTTTCCCACCCCCATAACTCGGTCAAATCTCATCAGATTTGCCCGAGGCTTGGCTTTTTATTTATGGCTTAGCCTCTAGATCAATCGTGCATCAAAATCTGGCAACATTATTTTTGGTCAAAATTCATGTAAAAACTATACCCTAAAATATTGTCTTCATCCTATATAGACTTAGTTCGAGATTTCCCACCCCCATAACTCGGTCAAATCTCATCAGATTTGCCCGAGGTTTGGCTCTTTATTCATGGTTTAGCCTCTAGATCAATCGTGCATCTAAATCTGGCAACATTATTTTTGGTCGAAATTCATGTAATAATTGTACGCTAAAATATTGTCTGCATCCTATATAGACTTAGGTCGAAATTTCTCACCCCCATAACTCGGTCAAATCTCATCAGATTTGCCCGAGGTTTGGCTTTTTATTCATGGTTTAGCCTCTAGATCAATCGTACATCTAAATCTGGCAACATTATTTTTGGTCGAAATTCATGTAAAAACTATACCCTAAAATATTGTCTTCATCCTATATAGACTTAGTTCGAGATTTCCCACCCCCATAACTCGGTCAAATCTCATCAGATTTGCCCGAGGTTTGGCTTTTTATTCATTGTTTAGCCTCTAGATCAATCGTGCATCTAAATCTGGCAACATTATTTTTGGTCGAAATTCATGTAATAATTGTACGCTAAAATATTGTCTGCATCCTATATAGACTTAGGTTGGATTTTCCCACCCCCATAACTCGGTCAAATCTCATCAGATTTGCCCGAGGCTTGGCTTTTTATTTATGGCTTAGCCTCTAGATCAATCGTGCATCAAAATCTGGCAACATTATTTTTGGTCAAAATTCATGTAAAAACTATACCCTAAAATATTGTCTTCATCCTATATAGACTTAGTTCGAGATTTCCCACCCCCATAACTCGGTCAAATCTCATCAGATTTGCCCGAGGTTTGGCTCTTTATTCATGGTTTAGCCTCTAGATCAATCGTGCATCTAAATCTGGCAACATTATTTTTGGTCGAAATTCATGTAATAATTGTACGCTAAAATATTGTCTGCATCCTATATAGACTTAGGTCGAAATTTCTCACCCCCATAACTCGGTCAAATCTCATCAGATTTGCCCGAGGTTTGGCTTTTTATTCATGGTTTAGCCTCTAGATCAATCGTACATCTAAATCTGGCAACATTATTTTTGGTCGAAATTCATGTAAAAACTATACCCTAAAATATTGTCTTCATCCTATATAGACTTAGTTCGAGATTTCCCACCCCCATAACTCGGTCAAATCTCATCAGATTTGCCCGAGGTTTTGCTTTTTATTCATTGTTTAGCCTCTAGATCAATCGTGCATATAAATCTGGCAACATTTTTTTTGGTCGAAATTCATGTAAAAATTGTATCCTATATAGACTTAAGTCGAAATTTTCCCACCCCATAACTCGGTTTTGACCGATGATGAGATTTGTCTCATCCGAGTTTAACGAGGCTTGGCTCTTAGTTCATGGTTCGGCCTCTAGATAAATCTTTCTTCTAAATATGTACACGTACCACAGGCGAGACCGTGGATATTTATATCTATCAACTATTTCTTTTTATATTTAATTTTTTTACCAACATCTTTCTAAATTTTATTCTTTCACCCATTCTCCACAGTTGCTTGAAAGTAAAGTCAAGGTAGTTACTGTTTTGAAATGTTTATTTATTTATTAATCCTTTAAACAGAAGTTTTTGCTTATGACAAGAACTTTGCCACACCGGAAATTAACATACAATACATTGCGGTATATTTCAATAATTTGATGTATATAATATTTATTTATTTTTATATTTAACTGAACCCAAAGAGAGCTCTACATACGTTAATCAATGATTTATGCTTTGAGTATTTTAACTAGACGATTCGCAAAAATTTCAATAGGCATTTCAGGTATAATCAAAACAAGTCAATTGAACTAAATTAAACTAATTTAAGTAGACTTTCAATAACAGTGTACAACGATATACATAAAGAAGACATACATATACATAGATATATATGTATATGTATTTGAAGCTGAAAGGAAATTGTCTACGTTATGCACAATTCCTAGTGCTAACAATGAGTATATTTAATTAATATTATTATAATTACGTTTGCTTTTGCAACAGAACATTAATATTTGACTATGAGTTGAAATTTTGGCTGGTATTCGTACTGTTAATCAAGCGCAATTAAATTATACACACATATATATATATGTTATATTTTTAACTAGAATACGTATTAATATGTAGTTGACTTAGATATATACACATATATATATAAATACATATATATATATATATTATTGCTCGATTATAAGCTGATATTCGAAGATCCGTTTCAGAGACTGAGAGAACTACAACGACCGCATCGATAGAGAAGGGGTTATACCAAGAACTTTTACTATATGGCCTTCCGATCTGGTCGGGGCTTGAGTTTATTGAGCTGTATCGTTGTCTTAGATTATCTGTGTTTATTGTATAGTCGCAGCGACCCGCCTGTCTGTGAGAGTATATGTGCTTGCTTGTCTTAATTGAATACAGTGTGTGGTTCTCAAGCTGAGCGCTTCGGGTTTTTAGTCTCTATATAGAACGTTTATCGTGCTCATTGTTTGTTGTGTGTGTGTGCCTAAAAGATAACGAACAACATTTAAGTAGAGCCAGACTGTTGCCTTTAGGGAATTGGCATTAGCTGTCTAGGCATTCGACTCTTTCAGATTCTCCAGGCGTGCCAATTGATTTGAGTCTAGCTCCTCGGGTATGCTGGCCCGTCCGCCGACCACTTGCTTGGGCGTCTCAATAACATCCTCGGCCGGTGCCTCACAATTCAAGTCCAAGCTGCTCGACTGACCGCCGCCCCCACCGCCACCCCCGCTCCCACCACCAGCTGCAGGTCCTGCTTCAGCGGCAGCTCCGCTGGCGGCAAATGCATCATCGAAATTAGCATCGAAATTGGCCTCGAAGTCGGCCTCAAATCCAGTGCTGCCGCCCTCAACAGCAACAGCTGCTCCAACAGCCTGGACAACGCCGGCTGCGGATTTCTCAATAAACGGATCATCCGGCTGCTGCAGGACGGGCACATCGGCCGCGTTGGAGTCGCTGCCATCCAGGAAAGACTGTTCATCCTCTGCATGACAGGATGGATACTCTGTCAGTGTTATGGTTACATTGGAAACCAACTGAACACCACCGACCCCAACCAGCTCATCGCCAACACCAATATTACCTTCTTTGGCAGCGGACGCTGCCGGCGGCGATGGCTGCTTCTGTGCCGCAACTTTAGCCTTCGGCTTCGGGACAATATCGGGCTTTTTATCCAACACCGGTTTCTGTTCCTTCTGTGCTTGCTGTGAATTGTCCCTTTCTCCTACTGGTGGGAAAGATTTATCGGCACCGTCTTCAACCATTGGGGTTGCAGCGGTAACAATTATTTGTGCCATACCTAAATTCAAACTATTCGCTGTGGTGGCCGTCGCCGTTCCGCCCTCAACCGGTTTGGTTAACTGCGGTGGCGGTAACGACGGTGGCGGCTTCTCATCGTCACTGAAATCGTCCTGCAATAGACAAAATGTCAATTAGTTTCCACAAATTTACTTAGTTTTTTAGCTAATTTATTTTTATTCATGACTTGTGCGTATGGGCCCTCCGCAAATTTAAATGACATTAAGAATCAAAACATGGAATCTACTTTTTTCGCCTCGCAAAAGATGTGAAATAAGTATCATCAGAAAGAATAATACGGTTGCTAATCATAAAAGTTGCCTTCAATTGCAATCAGCCTATTTTCCACTATTGCAGCTGGAATAGGGCTTTAAAGTGAATTCAAATCCGATCGGACGGTCTACATTTTTCACCGAGGTGGGAAAAAATTGCAATATGTGATACAAATTAAAAGCAAAGACGCTTCGAAATGGGTTTGAACCGACAACTTCACCCAACAAAGCTTTGACGGCCATTTAGTAGATTTTCAGAAAAGTGTGAAAAAATCCAGTGAGTGAATTGACACAAAGACCGTTGGAAATGACATTACAGGCGGTTGGACAGTAAGCTAAATTGTTTCGTGCAAAAATTTTGCACAATATTTTTCACGAATTTTTCATACGTTCTGGTGGAATTTTGAAACCCGTATCTTATCGTGGATCCTCATTACATAATATATAACATATCAGTTCGTCTGTCTTTCCGTCTCTGAATCAGTGAGTCCGTCCATGAATCAATCAGTCCGTCCGTCAGTCAATCAGTTGGTTTAAAAAGTACTACATATAAAAATATTTTGGATTAGGATATTTAGTTGTAATTACCTCCATGCCAGGCTCTTGTATAAGCACTGAGTAAGCATTAAATATAAATAAGAGAAAAACTTGATTTAGTAAATTCAATCAGGACTTGGTTTTCAAATTATAAATTCGCATTTTTAAGAACCCTTTATCAAGTGAGAGAGAGCGGTGAAATCTCAATTAAATATTAGAAGACTCGATTAAGGGAACAAGATCTTTAACGTGGAAAACATCCAACAGCTAGACAATTTTATACACAAAGGGTTCAATAATTAAATAAAAATATTATAAATTATATAAGACAAAATAATATTGTATATATTTACATTTATTTATATGTTTCGACTGGGGCGCATGCACATGCTATATGTATTTTAAGAAAGTTCCAAGAAATACATATTTGGATAGCACTTGGGGGCCGAAAATATATTTGCATATTTGTAGAAAGCTTTAAAACTTCAAAGCAAGGAAAGAGAATAATATACTTATATAGGAGAGCCAGAAAGGGTACTTTTAAGAATTAAGTACTAAGTATCTGCCAGTCGTTCGACTGGACTGGACTCGACTTAATTTATTTAACAGAACTACATTTGGGACACATTAACCATTATCTTTGCTATAGGGTATTCACAGCAGCTGCTAACTGTTTAATTTGCAAACTTATTTTCAGATGAAAGATAAAATCTGACAACTTTTTTATCTGTATAAATTATCAAAGCTAGCAAGCAGCACTCTTGCATACCCTATATTAAACAATCTACGAATATTAAGAAGGTTTTGAAGATAGTTTAACGAAAATATTCACTGCAATCGCAGACTCGAATAAGATATCAAGTACATATATGTACACACATAAAGAAAGCAATAACAGCACACTTTAGGATTAAAGTTAAGAACCATTTAAAATATGAAACATTGGAGACGCAAAGTTTCTTAAACGGAGCGAAAGGCAAAATTTACACAGCAATAAAAAAATAGATACCAAATTGTGATTAAAAATACCAATTGGTTAAAAATGGTGCGACAAATACACACAAATTACTAACTACAAAAAAAAAAAAAAAACAATCTTGAAAATGAGAAGGTATCAAAAAAAGAAAAAACCAATACAAAATTTCAAAATCGTAGAGATCGTAATTAGTAGCATAGCAGGAAACACCAACACACGAGGAGACACGTTGTAAAGCAGCCTAAAGAACACTGTAAAGAATTTTAGTTTTTAGTTCTTAGCTTCTGGTCTTGCTTAGGACACGTTAAACAATATTTAAGTTTTTTCGCTCAATCAAGAGATAGCACATTAAACGGGTTGTGTTTGAAATAGAGCCCTGCATCGATTAAATTACTTGTATCACACTCGGATACTCGAACGAATTAAACAAAAACGATGTTCGAACTGCTCGAGCTTGCAACATGTTCGAGCTCGAACGCAACCAAACGAATCGAACTTAAAACGAACGCGATTGAACCGAACTTTCGGGCGAATCGAGAGACTCAATTTTTTGTTGTACAACCGAACAATATCAAGTCTTGACTCGCTCTATTGAAATAATTGTTTGAGTATCCAACCGGGCTTAAGGCTGACTCAATGCTGGGCTCTAGTTTGAAAAATAGTTACAGTGACGGTTTGGAGTAGATCAGTAGGTTTTGGCAGAGGTGGTTGGTTGTGATTGTGGTGGTGGTATTGGTAGTTAGTGGTGGTTAGTAGTTGGACGAGCTGCACTTGAAGATTATGTTTGGGTACCTCTAGAGAATATATAAAAGCAGGTATAAGAGTACTTTCGAGTTTTTTGGTGAAACATGAAACAAATACATAAGAGAATGTTTGTTCTATAGAGATCGATGTGGCGTGTGTTATATAAATATGTAAAAAGAGAGCGTAGTTTGGAGAGAGAAACAGAGAAGTGACGAAAGTAAATGGCCAGGACAATTACCTGGCGGAGGCATGCTGGGCACTGCAGCTCCATTGGGTATATAGCCGCTGTCCCGATCCTCATCTGCAGCCGGGCGAGAGGGCGAAAGATTTATTGACTGAGTTAACCTAGGGCGCACTTTGTGGCAACTTACCTGCCGTATCCTGTGAGCCGAACATATCCTCCGTGATGTCCGTCAGCTCGTGGGCATACTCTGCCGGCAGAGCGGGCGCCGGCGGCAATGCAAAACTGGGCGCTGCCGTTGGCGGCGGTGACTCATCGTCGACGCCCTCGCTCAGCGGTTCACCCATCTCGTCGCACTCCTCGACAACCAGCGAGGGAAAATTACCAAATTTGCCATCCAGTTCGCCCTCCCACCAGCCGTCGTCGACACCGTGCGCGGTCTTGGTGATAATCTTGATCTTGTCGCCCTCCTCGAAGGTGAGCTCATCCTCGGCGGTGGCATCGTAATCGTAGAGCGCAATGCACCATTCGACGTCCGATTTGAGACGCTTTTGTGGCGCCATTATGACCGATACCTGGTCGGGCGATTGCATTGAGTCCACGGTCTGATCTTCGTTGTCAACAGTATAATCGACAGATGAGAATGAGATTTGTGAGCGCAATTGATTGCCAGAACTACCATTGAAGGCGACGCCGGCCGCGTCCTGTTCAATGTCCAGATAATTGTGCGGCACGTAGCCCTCCTCGCCCCGATAATTGCGCGCACGCAGCCAGCCATCGCCATCCCCCTCGCCCACCACCTCCAGCTGCTCATTCTCAACAATTGTCAGCTCGTCAGGATTTTGGGCCTAAGATCGGGAAACTCTATTAGCTAAGCCCATGAAGATCTACCCAGCTGTCGCACTCACCGTGTAGCTGTAGAGCGCAGTGCACTTGAAGATGGCCTCCTTGGGCTCGGGCACAATGGGCTCGTCCTTGTCGTCCTCGGCCTCCTCCCAATTGACCTCGGTCGGATCGTCCCAGCCGCCTGCACTGCCGGCGTTCAACATTTGCGCCGGTGCCGCCGAGCTTGACTGTGCTTTCTCCTGCTCCTCGGGCTCCTCGTCGCTGTCGCTGAAGGTGCGATCCCGCGAGAACTGCTGCTGCTGCTCCGGCTTGGGCTTGGCCACGGCAACGGCCGTGGCACCGGCTGCCTCCTCCTTGTCGCTGTCGTAGAACGAGTCGGAGCTGGGATTTTCACCCTGGCCGGAGGCATCGGTGCGCATGGATATGGAGCTGGCCGAGCGTGTTAGCTCCTGGACGCCCATTATTTCCGCCTCCTGCACCCATTCGTCCACATTGATGCCGCCATCGCGCAGACACTGGAGGCACGCCTCCGCCTTGGCCTTTTCCGTTTCAGAGCGACGTATTTGATCGCGGAACTCGTCGATTTTCGTATCCAGATCGGGTCCATTCGGATCGTTGGGATCTGTACGCTGGCCGGCATCCCGCAGCGATTGACACAGTGCCAACTTCTTGGCATGCTCGCGTATCGAGGCATTCTCCTTGACCACACGACCCGCCAGATTCTTGGCCTCCTTGGTTAGCGTCTCGGCAGCCGAGTCGTGCTCGGTGGTCACCTTCCGTACCGGATCATTATCGCAAGCCTCAAAGTCGTACTGTATATGCTGCTTCAGCACCGGATAGAACAGATAGCAGCACTGCAAATTATATTCCCGGGTCAGCTGCTGTGCTTGATCCCGAATCTTGCCAAAGCTATTCTGCGTCGCCGAACAGGTTAGCAGCTCTGTGCGGCTGTAGAAGATTGCAGAAATGTCATATAATACGATCAGATATATGCAGTGAAAGGTCTATAAAAGTTCAAGTGTAGCTCATGTTTTCCTTCATCCTTCCCCAGGGCAACCCTTTCTGACCGAAAATGGAAACTATTTTTTTTGGATCCCGAGCGGAATCAAGAAATTGTGAACAATGAATGCACCTCATTTGTGATTCTTAATTCTTTGCCTTGGAGCTGACAACTGAGCAGGAAGAAAACGCATACCATTCTTTATCGTAGACAGAACCCGGACTTACCCCATTAGCATCAGATACTCGGCGACCCGCTCGAAGACATAGTTCTCCATGGTGGTCATTGTGGTTTGCAGATCGACGGTAAAATAGCGATTCTGATGGGCATTGGCGGCGGCCAGACTCAGAATGTAGTCGTTGCGTGCTCCGGAGGATTTCTCCTCGAGCAGCTCCTTGCGCGATGTGACCCGGGCGCTGTTCTTCTGCAGCGACGTTATGGACTGAAAGAACGAGCCCTTCTTCTTCTTGAGCTTCTCCTCAATGTCCTTGGCCTTGTCACGCACATCGTGGGCGCAGTGCTCCTCATCAAAGTACGACTTCTTGGTCTTGTCCACATCGCCAACGCTCAGGTGCAGCTCCTTCTGCACGTTGACAATGCCCGCCAGCGAACGCTTGGCAATGGCCAGCTTGTAATCTCGCAGCACCTTGGACTCGTCGGCGATCTGTTGCTGGAACACCTCGATGGCGGCGAGCCGAGCGCGTGCCAGCTTCTCGTTCTCCTCCAAAACGGTGCGCCAAACGCTCCACATGTTCCTTAGTAAGTTTGGGAAATTGGAGTAAGATTTGCCAGATGTTTCAGATGTTCCGGTAACTTACCAGCGCTCCTCCATGCCGTCCATTTTAATATCGGGTATATTGGGTATCTTCTTGTTGAGATACTGCGATGAGATCTTAAGCAGCGCCTCGCTATACGATTTCTCAATGGCGGATCGCTTGAGCGTAAACTGCCGAATGTCGTCCAGGAGATCGCATTCATGCTGATTCTTTAGCTGCAACTTGGCCACCTGCTCCGTGTGTAAATTCTTTAGGAATTTCACATAGTTACCCTAGAATGTGATATATGATGATGGGTATGTCAGTTGGGCAGTATATGGCAGCTGCCTGGGGGTTTACCTTGCGCGGCGGCGGCTGCATTTTGTTTAGCTTTTGGCAACTAGCGCGGTTTTTTTTATCAAGCAGAGAAGCGTTTGGTTCTAGTCGAGCTCCAATCAAATGGCCTTACATTACCTTGAGCAGCTGCAAGTGTAGGGTGTGCGGGGGATGGTTGGGGAATTGGAAAACGGTATTAATGATATTGGCCAAATGAAAAACTTATGTAATAGAAGGCAAGCAGAGCAAATGCAGCCTCTTAAGCACTTTTACATAATCGTGCAAATTATATTGGAAAATTCAATATGAAAATTTTTCACTGGAGCAGCAGCCCTGGCCCAGGCTGTCCCCCTGCTGATATCGATTTATGCTCAAGCAGAGCTCGTCTAGTAATATTGCATTTTTCTAGCACTACGATGTCTGGTTATTCTAGGGGCTAACACTTTTCTTGGACATGCTCTGGTTGCTGTTTTGTCAGCAAATTCGTGAATTTCAAACTGTTTTCTGGCCTAATTAAAAAGGAAACTTTTCTTTTTTTTTCACGCTTTTCTCACAAAACGCCTTGCGTACTTATCGATTTCGATTTTAATGCCGTTTTAACTGTTTCTCCACGCATACACCGTTAGCTGCTGCGCGCAGAGAGCGAATGGCCGAGCAAGCGAGTAAGAGGGATAGGGAGAGCTGTGTTATTTTTGGTTAAGGCAATTTAAGGGTGTATGCTTTGAGCATAATTCAGGTTCATTCATGGCCTGCCAGTATGCTCGGCACATGCGCCAAGCCAGGTTGATTTGTACTATCCAAAATTGATAACGGTACCCGAACACTACTTGTAATACTCTAACGTTATTTATTTGCGCTCGTGGCATTTACATGGTTTTTTCCAAACACAACAATCAATAATAAAACTCGACAATGGCAAGACCTTTGCATACTGATAATGTATGCTTCATTATCAACAAACCAAATATAGATAATAATAATTTTTGGTATTCGAATATTGATAAGGTCATCGGTTAAACTAAAAGTATGCAATGCCTTTTTTTTATCGACTCCGCATGATTCCGAAGCCCAGTACGCTGCTTAAGCAAAATGCATGCCAAATTGTGACGATATCTCTAAAATCGATATTGAAATTCCGATGCTCTGTGCAGTATTGCCAATTCAGCTGTTTTCGTGGTACATCTGCACATTTAAAAATTAAGAAATGTTTTTATCGCTCTTTGGCAACTATTTGCTTTGCTCTGCACAGTTTGCCTTATGAGTTTTGATTATGTGGCAACTCTTTGCTTACTACCATTTCCAATTTTTGTTCAAGCTACATTTAACCATTTTAAATTGAGTGCCCAGCTACTTTCTGGCAACGGCAGTTGGCAGCACTGGTTCAGTGTTCCAACGGTTGTTGTAGCGTGACCAGCTATCGTCACTATCGATATATCGATAGGCAACAGCTGTTTTTGCGCATTGGAATGCAATAAAACGAAAACAAATGAGCGCAACGCAAATAATGGACGGAGGTGCGGCGGCAGGTGTTAGCCATACGCAAAACCCGTTTTCAAGTCAAGAGCAAACAAACAAAACGGTTTACAGGCGGCGTCGTCGTTGTCGGTGCCAACTGTAAAAGTGGGCCGCCAGCGAAGAAGCCAGAGCAACAACAACAACAACAGCACAGCAGACGTCGTCGCGACGTCAAGCCCGAGCAGCGACTGTGATTTCACTTTTCAACAGTTGGCGACCGAGCAGCAAACAGCGAGCAGCGTGTAACGGACGAGAGACGAGGATTGCCAAATTGCAGTAAAAACCATTCAATTGTGCAATAGAGATCGAGCTAGAAATCGAGCAGACAAGATGCAAAGAGTCGGCGCGCTGATTATGCAACAGTTGATGCGGCACAGGATGCCGCAAGGCCAGCTGCTGCGTCGCCGCAACCCCACCACACCTGCTGTGCTGCTCTCAACTTTCACCCAGCAGCAGCAGAAACGCGGTACGGCAACGTCAACGGTGAGCAGCAAGCAGGCAACGCCGCCGCCACGCCACGACTGGAATCGTGCCGTTAGCGAAGCGGAACGCATTGTCGGCTATCCCACATCCTTTCTCAGTCTGCGCTGGCTGCTCAGCGACGAGATCGCCAATGTGGCGCTGCATCTGCGCAAGCTGGTGGGCAGTGCGCATCCCCTAATGAAGACAGCTAAGTGAGTAGGCGCGGCAACTATAAATGTGTGTGTGTGTGTGTGTGTGTGTGTGTGTGTGTGTGTGTGTGTGTGTGTGTGCAGTGCTGCCAAACGATCCAATGTTAACAGGAGAGAAGGGCAAGCCGATGTTTGAATACTCTTGTAGAAGTTTGACGCACGACCTTGCGTAAACTTTGACACACGACCTTGCAAATATGTGAGGGGAATAGTGAAGTGAAAAAAATGAATACGCTTGTTAAATATGAAGGACTTCTTCAAGAGTATATACAAACTATATGCAATCGGAGCTGTCGCAAATTTCATGACAAACCTAAAGTACCCCCTAGTGTATACAAATAGAGAGGCAGCTGGAAATCTTAAAAGTTACCGGCTAATAACAGCTGAAAATAGCTACATTTAGCAGTAAAAACGTGGCAGTTGGCAGCACTGAACCGACTATGCAGATACCCTTCATTGATTCTCCTAATCTCAACAGGCATCTGCTGTACAATGGCAAGAACACAATGCAGGCGTGGGGTCTGATTGTGTTGCTGGTCTCCAAGGCGGCGGGACATGCGCCGAGCATACCGGATGTGGAGCAGGATAAAAGCGCCGGGGTACTCCATTCGCAGCGCGCCCTCGCCGAGGTCACGGAAATGATACGCATCTCGCATCTGGTGCACAATGTATGTTCCAGCTAAGCAGCAGCAGCACCTAATCTCTTGCTTCAATTCAACTGTTCGATTGCTTATTCGCAGAGCGTGGTCAATTTGCAGTCGGGCACGCAGGCTGGCCAGGATGTTAGCACTTATGATGACATGTCGTTTGGCAATAAGATTGGTCTGCTTACCGGCGACTATCTGCTGGGGCATTCCAGCGCCGAGCTGGCGAATCTGCGCAATCAGGAGGTAGTCGAGCTGATCTCGTCGGCGGTGCGCGATTTTTCCGAATCCGAGTTCATTGGCGAACGCGATGAGCAGAACAATCCGCTGCCCTACAAGCCGGGCACATTCCAGCGTCCCTCGCTCAGCGTGGCCGTGGACTTCAACGAGCACGACGTGATGACGCCCATGCCCATTGGCCAGGTGCTGGGCAATCCGGAGCAGGAATGGGAATGCCGCAATATACTCAATGCGGGCAGCCTGCTGGGCAAGTCCTGCCAGGCCTCGCTCAAGCTAGCCGGCCAGAGCGAACAGATGCAACGCCATGCCTATCGCTTTGGCAAGCATCTTGCGCTGGCCTGGCAGGCATGCCTTGACGCGGAAATCTTTCAGTGTCCCACACTGCCGCTGGATACGACGTTCAGTCTGGTTAGCGCGCCAGTGCTGTTCCATCTGGAGCACGATCCCAGCCTCTATGCACTGATCGAGCCGGGCAAAAAGTCTGTGGAGCTGATCGATTACGTTCAAATACACAAGGCCGTCATAGCCGGACCGGCGCTGGCCAAGACCAAGGAGCTGCAGTGCAAGCATACGGCAGCTGCGCTCAGTGTGCTGCAGCATTTTCCGGCCACGGATGCACGCCAGGCGCTGGAGAACATCATACTGGCCATGCAGGACTTGTGACGCATAGCGCAAAAAATGACAGCACACGAACGGGTTCAGGGTTATAGCATAATGACATTAGCTTAAAGTGAACTTTAATCTTAGGCAGGCAGAGTACAACAGAACAAAGATAAACCCCGGCTCTGACCTGGGTTTAGTTTCTAATACAATGTGGGAATTTAGGTGATGCACAGGGCGCAAATTGTTAAACATTATTAAATATTCATATTTATTGCATCCTCGTTACACAACTAATAAATCTAACAACATTTTAATTATAAGTTTGAGGCCTCACGATTAAAAGCTTCATTATTTTTACTAGAGTTGAGCGCGTGACGTGTTCTCTTTAGGGATATTATAAAAGCTAATGAAATTCATATAAAAATTCCATTTTCGATCAATAGTTCTAGGCAGACAAACCGACTGAGGATACTTTATTAAGAGTTCGTATTGTATGTTGTTGCTGATTTTCCCGATCGTGCGTGTTTCTTTTCGTGTTCGTGTCATGTCAATTGGGCACGTGCCCATCTCTACATGCGATTAATATTTCGTGCGTGTTACTTTGAGAGTTCGTGTTCGTATCATGTGAACTCGTGCCCATCTCTATATTCCATTGATATTTGCGATCGCGCGTGTTTCTTTTCGTGTTCTTGTTGTGGCAACTCGTGCCCATCTCTACCTTGTATTAATATTTATTTTCGTGCCTGTTTTTCTACAAATTGTGGCTCGTGTTCGTGTCGTTAAATGCGACACGCGTCCAGCTCTATATGCATAAGGTATACAAAAAGGACTTTAGTCAGCGGCAGGTTATGCGCATCAGGATCAGCTGCGGGCAGCGCTCGTATTCGAAATACTGTGGAAAGTCAAGTGGGACGTGCTCCATTTGCCACGGCTTGTGCGCCGTCTGCCTGAGAAAGTGCTCCCACATGGGCGCCACAGAGTCGCAGTCCTCCAGTGTGAAGACGTAACGCTTCTCCATGGCCACATAGATGCACTTGGGCCTGCCCGACTGCCGGCCACGTGCAAGGATGTGCTCCATGACGGCCACGAAGGCATCGGTCAGCGTATCCTCATAGATGACATCTGCTGCCATTATCACATCGCTGGCATCAATGGCCGCGAGCAGCTCTGCGCTCAGCTTGGACTTGGGTGCCAGGAAATCATACTCGAGCACCGACACCTGGCCACGGAGCAGCTGGGCATTGCGCTGCACATTGCGACGCATCAGCTGCAGTATGCTGCCGAGATTCACATCCGTGCAGTAGACCTGGCCGCCGTTGTGCATGGCGGCCGCAATGCTGGTGAGTCCCACGCCGGCGCCCAGCTCCATCAACGTCTTGCTGGCCAGCTCTTCGCGCTGATGGAATACATAATCAGCCAGCAGCAGCGCACCGCGCCACACCTGCAGCCCCACCAATTTCAGCTCTGTGGCATCGGAATGCTCAAGTTCAATGGTGCCGCGCCTGGGACGCTGCACCTCAAGGTCACCATCATGGTCTACGGTTGCTTTGGCGTTGTCTTCCTTTTCGTTAGGATAACGAAAACGGAATTTGGAGACAATGTGACCGTCTGCACTGTGTGTTGTCTGATAGTTGGTCTCACTGTAGATTTCCGACTTGACCGTATACATGGCGCGGGTGTTGTGCGACACATTTAACTAATAATTCGCCTGATTTGCTGGCAATTTGCCAAAATCGTAAATAAGCAAGCGACATTGACAATTTTTATGCTTGGTTTGGCGACGCTGCATTAAATTAGAGCTGAGCGACATTGATGGAACTGTGACTGCATGCAGAGAGTAACAGGTATACGCAGTCTGTTATTAACATTTACAGCTGTGAAT